TCGTATAATATTCAGATTTTTTATTCAGATATTCGATTGTCCGAATATCGGAATATTGAAATCCGGGGGACAATATTTTAATAGAAAGCCACGTTTATTTATGCTGACAAAATTTTTCAAGCATAAATAGAATAAAATAATAAAAATTAAGGTGGTCATTCACAAACAGTTACCGCCTTTTTCATTGTTTCTTTGTTTAAACTTTTTTCATGTTGAATATCGAATAACCTGGGGGGTTACTCTGTAATGCGATGCGAAAACAAATGATTCGCATTCGCGCAGCACATCGTACGTAATACACAGGGGTGATTGCCTATCGCATCGCATTTCTCTGTCGTATCGCATTACAGAGTAACCCCCCTGAGCGGGGACAAATATTTTTATATGGAGTAGGTAAAATAGTATATCAAAGAAATACCGTTCGCAAAAAAACCAAAATAGCTTACAATAATAAAAAAACAGCTTTGTTGATGGTGGAAATTAGCACTTTGTTTGGAAATGACTCACATACATATTTCATTTTACTTTACTTTTTGTTTTAATTATTTTATGGCCGGTTGCACCAATCAATTTTAAATTTATCAGCTTGTTAAAATTTAAAATTACACAATTTTGTTAGGAAAACTTGTAATTTTAAGTTTTCGCAGTCTGATAAGTTTTAAAATCGATTAGTGAAACCGGGCATAAGTCTTTTATTCTTTGACTTATAACCAGTTTCACGGACACGTTAAATCGTGAATTATATTTTTTATATCTAAACATCCCTGAAATTGCTTTCGTGCAATTGGCTATTTATACGTACTAAATAAAAAAAAATACTTATCATTTATCTCATAGGTAATGATTTATAATTAAAATTTTACGTTATAAAATATCCCTTCAAAGTCTCACTCTACTAAGCCTCACAAGCACGCTACTAAATTTACTAATATGCTACTAGTAATCAACGCTAGGTGGCAGCGCTGTCAACACTTGCTAATCATCACATTGAAAATGAGTGTCAAATTTTTGCTGTCAAATTCCATTCTGCAATTGTGTGGAATTATTCCGTTCCATTGTGTTCGTTGCGCCATTGCCGGCCGCTTATTAAATCCAGCAATTGATCCATTGCCAACTACAATCAATTCCAGAACATTTGTAACCACTCAGCCAGTAAAAATGGCCGAAGCAACTGGTTTGAGCAACGAGGAGGCGGCGGAATTATGCAAGCCCACAGATGCTGCTACTAAGGTAAAGAAAATACTTGGGTACGCCCTGGCACGATCGAGTGAATTCAGAGATGAGCGAAATATTTATATAGTACATACATATGTATGTATGTATGTACCAGTATGTACGCATGTTTCCTTATATGAACATTTGTTCATAAATAAATATACATATACATATGTACAAATATGTACATAGGTATGTACTATGTTCACATGTTCAGCCACAAAATATGATATGTACATATGAATATTCTTAAACTTCTAGGACTTCCTCTTCCAACAAACAATGTATCGCATCAAAGATCCTCGAAAATCGCTACCTTTCTACACCGGTGTGCTGGGTATGTCATTACTGGTGAAGTTGGATTTTCCTGAAGCCAAATTTTCGCTTTATTTTATGGGGTAAGCGCACATACATACATACGTAAATATGTATGTAGATAATTTGGAGTGTTTTATTGGCACTCAGCAACATCTGATAAGGATATAAAATAGTCATTCAATGACAAATGCAAACACGCTTTCGTTTGTATATAATATGTATGTTCAATATATCGTGTGCTTATATTCAATGCTCTCTATCTGCAATTTTTACGGAAATTTGTTTTTTATGGCAACCTTATATTTGGCATAAATTTCATTCATGGTATTTATTTCCTACCTAAAATACATACATTGTACTTTATTTTCATTCTTAAAATTCAAATATCAATCTACATACATACAGACACTGACGGCAAAAAGTATTTGCACCGAAAATTGTTCACAGTATATGCAAAAATATTTACTTTATTTTTTCGCTGATTTTTTATAAAAATTTGGTTAATACTACAACCAAAAACAAAAAACCCCGTTTCTAAACTTTTTGCCAAACTCAGGAAAATTCAATAAATTTTCATGCAAATTTTCAACTGTTTTTCTGCAGTTTTGTAGCCAAATAAATTGCAAGTTAGAGGTAGCTTGGTGCTACCGTTCATTTTTCATGCATTTTTTCCCAAAAAAAAAAAAAAAAACAAATCCAAAATACTTTCTATGGAAAAAATTCGAAACACCTTCCAAAAAAAAATCCAAAATCACCACGATTTTGTAGCAACTTCAAACTTGCATTTTTTTATACAAAAATTTAATGGGCTAAAATTTTTCTTCCCAATGGTAGCAGTTATTTTAGGACCTAAACCAAATTCAATTCAAGCCGTAGTAAAATTTTATGCTTTACATTTTTGTGGAAAGTCTCAACCCTCTAGTTAACATTTTTTCAAAACGGGGTCAAAAATATCCATTCTGGTAGTAGTTAATGGGGTAAAGTTTTGCATGAAAAAAATTGCTGCTAAATTCTACTATAGGTCTCCGAAGGCAAGAGTAATGAATGGTTGAGGCCACTTTACACGTTTAAAATTTAGATTTTTGATCAAGAAAAGGACAATTTGATCCATTGTAGAAAATACTTGCGATGAGGTAGAGCAAAAACAAATAACGGTAATATTTAAGTCACATTTTGGTACTTAAAATTATTGAGAGATTCATAAGTGCTGGTAAAACACCCTTTTCCTCTTCTAAAAAATTTTATTTTTACAGATTGAGGATACTGAATATACATAAGTCGCCTATATGTATCAATGTCTAGTTAACACTTCACTTTTATTTGCAGCTACGAAAATCCCGAAGATGTCCCA